ATCTAGTATTGTATTTGTCTATTGTGTCATCTGGTTTTAATTCTCTCTTGAATATCCATTTTGATCCAAAAGATTTCGAACTAGGTGGGAGATCCATCAGTTTCCAAGTGTGATTCTGAAGAATAGAGCCAATTTCATTTTTTAAGACTTCATTTCAGAGATGCGCTTCAGGAGATCTCACCGCCTCAGCATATGTTTGAGGCTCGTTTTCAAGGAGATAAGTAAAATATTCATTTCTATATGAATTTTCAACTCGTACTCGTTTGCTTTTTTTGAGTTCAGGTTCCTGACTTGGTTCAAATTTAGATTCATACATTTTCATTCGACCTTTGTTCACAGTTTCTGGTTGTCGGTTGGCCGAACTAGATGCAGCGCCTACTTTGGCAGGGAACACATTTTCAAATAATGATGCATTTTTGTATTCTATTATCGTATTCTTTGGGATATCCAAAAAAATTTAATCGAATACCAAGAATCGATAGGCAGTATTTTTACGTGCATATCCTATGAAAATGTAGTCCACTGTCTTGGGACTGATTCTCACACGTTTGGAAGGTGACAATACTACCTTAGGTAGACAACCCCACATTCGAAGGTGTTTGTAAGATGGTTTTCGACCTTTCCAAAGCTCATAAGGGGTTTTCTCTATATTTTTCTAAGGTATTAAGTTAAGCAGATAATTACTGCTTAAAATTGTCTCTCCCCACATGTTTTGGGGTAGTCCACAACTTAACATCGCATTCATCATTTTTTTTAATGTGCGATTTTGTGTTCAACAACATTGTTTGATTGAGGTAAGGTGGGGTTACTTCGTGAATTATTCAATTTTCTTCGCGAATTATTCAATTTTGTTTACAAAATTCAACGATCGGAGTTTTATATTCTCCACCTCTATCACTTCGAATTTTTTTAATTCGTTTGTTAAGTTGATTTTCTATTTCATTTTTGTACAAAATGAATTTATTTAATGCCTCATCCTTGATTTTAAGTAAATACACATAACAATACTTTATACAATCGTCAATCAAAGTAATAAAATATTTATTACCACTATATGTTTGCAAATTTCAAATCGCATACGTCACTGTGAATTACTTCGAGTGTTTCAGTTTCATGGTGAATTATTTGGAAAGACGATCGAGTTTGTTTTGCTTCAACACAAATTTCACATTTATGTTTATTTAATTCAAATTTTGGAATGTGGTTCAAGTTAATTAATCGACGTATAGAACCATAATTAACATAACCCAATCGACTATGCCATAAGTAGAAGACTCAACAATACAAGCAACAGACTTATTATTATTATTATTATTATTATTATTATTATTATTATTATTATTATTATTATTATTATTATTATTTTCAATCATTGTCATAATACAACATTTCAATAAATCACCCTCTACATATCCCTTGCCCACATACACTCTTGATTTATACAAAACAAAATTATCACCATTCATGTTAATATTAAAGCCGCGTTTAATCAGGAGCATCCCTGAGACCAGGTTCTTTGTCATCGCTAGCATGTGCAGAACGTTGGTCAGTATCACAAATCTTCCAGACGTCATCTTCGGAAGCACCTTTCCTCTCCCCTTGACTTCAACATGAGTAATATTCCTCATGTACATTGTTTCTCATTCGACACGCTCGAACGAGGAGAACTGATTTCTATTCATACAGATATGGCGTGTTGTTCCCGTGTCGAGACACCACTATTCTTTGTTTGATCTTACCAAGTTTTCCTCAGAGACAATACATGTGAGGTCGAGTGGCTCTTCATCTTTAGTAACGACGTGTGCCTGGGTCATCTCTCTCTTTCTTTTCGGTGCCTTACAGTCTATCGAATGGTGTCCGAGCTTCCCACAATTGAAGCAAGTGTCTTTGAAGGTACTTTTTGCTTTTTCAACATTGTCAGATAGCTTCAGCTTCTGCTTTCCCTTGTTTGCAAGCTTTCTGTTCTTTCAAGACTACTCATTGTTACTCGGAGCAGTCTTGAAACGAGATCATAGGCCTTTGTGCTCAACTACATTCGCTTTACTGCCGAGCATCAGATGTCTCCTGCTTGCCAGATTTGATATATGCTCATCTTCAATTTGGAGATGATTGATTAGTCTCGCAATGTCCATTGTTTTCGTTTGTGTTTAAGCTAAATCTAAAAATCACCCTAGCTAGGCGGAAATTTTTCAATTATTGTCGCCACATGGAAGACTTCACTCAACTTCATCCCCCCAGCCTGGATTTTATGCATAATAAGCTGAAACGCATCAAGGTGATTCATAACGCTTTTCCGTCCACCATTTTGGAATCCAAAAACCGACCTACTATGAGTTTCTTGGCACCGACATCCTCAGTTATGTATTTATTCTCCAACGTACTCCATAACTATTTAGCCGTTAGCGCATGCCAGTAGACACCGTACAGGGAGTTGCTCAAGCCGTTCAGTACATAATTTTTGTACACAAAATCTGAGGGTTTATAGGCTTTCAGAACTTGTGCTTTCTATTCTTCCGAGGATTCTTCAGGCACAACATATGCATCATCCAAAAACCATTTTGTCAGGTTCAACGTGGTCAGATAAAACAACATCTTTTCCTGTCATGTTTTAAAATTTTGCTTGTTAAATTTCTCTTTTGTTTTGGTTGCCGCAGCAACAGGCTGCCTAAAGGTTGCAAAAATAGGTTGCATTACGTGGTCCGCAATAGCAACAGGTTGTATACCCTTCAAATCGTCTAGTTGTTGTCCAGCAGACGCAACGAGACCTTGCGCAAGTCCTGCAACCATATAGTGCAAAGAAGGCATAACAACAACAGTCTATCTCACACGGGTATTAATAGGAACCCATTTTTTCCTCCCAGCAACAGGTTGGTTGGAGGTTGCAGCAACAGACTGCGCTCCTTCCATCGCAGCCTTGAAGGTGTGATTGTACACTGCCTGCGCAGTCTTTTCAGTAGCAGCCCTCTTAGATGCCTCACTGTTTGGGCGGTGCGGCAAAGGTCGTGGAACAGAGAAAACAAGAATGTGAGACTCACTGGAGTTAGCGTCCCCGTTCTCCTCACCATCTGCCCCAATCTGAATATCATCATTTAGATTTCTATCGCCTCCATCGCGCACAACATCAATCATTCCTTCATCATCAGGTAGGTTCTGGGCAGCCGCGATTTGATTGTTGATCTGAGGAATTTCGTCAGCCATCTCATATTTTACTATAGGAATTCGCTTCAGGATTGTAGGATAACCTTTATTAGCGAATCCAAGATGTGACGAAAATCAAATCAATAAATCAAATAACAAAATTGAATATCAGGTTTAAATAAATCCAAGTCTCGTGTAGCGCGTGATTTTCTTGAAGCGAATTCAATCCTTCACCGATCGTCTCTCAAGATAGGACGAATTATTAACGGAATAACATATTTCACAAATCGAACTAGGTTTGGAAGGATTTTTCTTTTTTTTTTTTTTTTGCAGAGAATTTAGGAAAGAAAAATTTTCAGAGATAGTTTTGAGAATTGATTTTCGTATCTAAAAAGGGAGGAGGAAAATTATTTTTATATTTCACGTTTTTTGGGATTTAATTACGTGAAGAGGAAGATACAACCCCATCACTTCGCACCTATGTTGCATTTAGTTGCAATCGTAATTGTTTATCTGATTACTTGAATTTTTTTGTCAAAATAAATCAATCAAGATAATATAAAATGAAAAAATAACTGGATTTTAGACACTTGGGCTTGACCCACAAGCTCTCACGGCGCCAAGGCCCGAGGCCCAAATCTTGACATTTAATATTGTCAAATCCAAGCTCAAATAAGGCTAGGCCCAATCCCATCAAATAACTCAAATAAAAGAATTAATAAACATTTCTATTTCTTATTCATCACGTAATTCTCAAATTATCACATTTAATACTATCTACCTTATTGAGAGTGAATTGTATTTATTTTTGAGTTTTGGTTGATGTTGCTTGCAGATGACCTGATCAACGAACAAACATTGATGGACAGACGCGACCCAATTTATATCTAGCCTAATCAAACAAGAAGATGACCCAAACTTTATCAATCGAATGAAAACACAGAAAGAAGTAATCGAGATTGATAGAGTTATTGATCCCCATGTGAGGGAAACGAACTTCCGTTGTAACAAATTTTTGTGGAGGTGAGAAGAGATAGTGGTGCAAAAAAATTTCATTCTTGATTGAATTTGTTAGATGATTGTATATGTGAGTGAAAAAATATAATAGGCGGGTGGAGCATTCTGGTTATGTTGATTAAGAAAAAAAAAAGATTATTGAACATTGAGAGATTGAGGATAGGAGATAGCTTTTGGGTTGGGAGAAACAATCAAGAAATGTGTATGTTGATTTTGAGGTGTGTAAGTCGATTGTATCCAAATATCCTTGAGCTTCAATGATGGAACCTCTCAGATGTAGCCAAACTGGGTTATTAATTATTATATTTTTTTCAATTTTTGTCGTCATCAGTTTGCGCGTAGTCCTATCATACAACAAACAACCAGCCTCTCTCGTAGAAATTTACATTTTATGATCTTGGAGTTGTTCAATTAATGTTATGAGGATTTAATCGAAATTTGGAGCCAACATCTCGTGTTGAATTCAAATATTGCTTGGTTTTTTAAACGGAGGAATTACTAGTTTATTTTTAAAAATATTCTCTTAATTGTGAGTCGATGTATTTATTTATTATTTTATTTTATTTTGATCTATTTATCAATATGTTTGTTTTCTTTTATAATAATTATTTTTTACACATTTTTTTAAAGAAACTTTACAATTTATATTACATAATATCATTGTAACTATTTCATTAAATTACCTTTTTCTTGAGGTAGAATTATCTTAACTTAAAAATAAAATATAAAAAAGTTGAAACCATTTTGTAGTTTTGGAAAGTTCCATATAGTACAAAACTTAAATAATAAAAAAAAAAAAAAGAAAAAGACTTATGGGATGTAAATAATTGTTGTATGTCATTTTTTGTAAATATAATAAGTAACTAACTTAATATTTTGAACTAAAATTCTATATAAGAAAGAAGAATGGGAAGCAGAAAAGTCACGAGAAGATTATTTCAGCCATGGCGCCTTACGGCACGACGGAAAATTCTCAAACCGCCGTCGTAATGGTGCCTCTGCCGGCGCAGGGCCACCTAAACCAGCTCCTCCACCTCTCCCGCCTCCTCGCCGCCGCGAATCTCTCCGTGTACTACATCGGCGACACCACCCACGTCCGCCAGGCCCGTCTCCGGGTACACGGCTGGAACGACTCAGGCGCAGCCGCCAGAATTCATTTCCAGGAATTCGAACCGGCGCCGTTCCAGACCCCGCCGCCGAACCCAAATTCATCGAACAAATTTCCGGACCAGCTGATTCCGGCGATCACGGCGGCGATGAGTCTCCGTGACCCCATCACCGCCTTCGTCGGCCGTCTGTCGGCGGACTTCCGCCGCGTGGTGGTCATCTTCGACTCCCTGATGTCGTACGTGGTCCAGGACCTCGACTCAGTGTCTAACGCCGAGGCGTACTGCTTCCGCAGCGTGTCGGCGTTCACCGCCTATGCCATCTACTGGGAGCGCCGCGGGATGCCGGCGGTGGCTCCGGGAGCAGAGATCCTGAGAGAAGTCCCCGGATCAGACGGGTGCTTTAGTCCCGAGTTTCTAGAATATTCAAAGCACCAACAAGCGGCGAAGAAAATCTTCTGCGCAGATATTTACAATTCCTGCAATGAAATCGAGGGATTCTTCCTCGACTTACTCGAAAAGGAAAAGTCAACAGGGGCTGGGAAAGTGTGGGCACTAGGGCCATTCCACCCTGTGAGTAAATTAGAGCCGGCCGGTTCGGCGTGCTTGGAATGGCTGGACCGGCAGGAACCCGATTCGGTTATTTTTGTGTCGTTCGGGTCGACGACTTCCATGTCCGATGAGCAGATTCGAGAAATCGCCGCCGGCTTGGAAAGAAGCCGCCAGAAGTTTCTGTGGGTGCTTCGCGATGCTGATAAAGGCGACATTTTTACAGGCGATATCAGGAAACTTGATTTGCCTCAAGGGTAATTTAATTACAAATATTATTGATTTTCACTTTAATAATTAATAACTAAATTAATGTTTTTATTTATTATTATTCAACATACTCCATGATACCAGGGGTTTTATAACAAAATTCAATAATTGGCTTGTGCTTCTAAAAAACTATCTTATTGCTATTTATTGATTTTGAACTCAAGAAAAATAAATTAAATTTTAAGATATTTTGTAGGCTAGCAAACACTTGTACTTGGTTAAAAGGTTTTGTTTATTTATATGAGATTATATTATATAATATTATTTTAATAAATTATATAATAAGTTTATAAAATAATTTAATATTTATTTTAGTTAATTATTTTATATGAATATTAAATTTTATTAAGATATTTTTCATTATATGATAAAATTAGTTATTAATAAAAAAAATAAAATAATTTTTTAATATTAATATTATTTTCGTATTTCTTCTGTTCAAAAACTTTATATGTAGTTTTATATGATGACAGAAACTAAAATGTTGATAAAACAAATATGTTAATTTTTTATTATTTGTTAAAATATAAATAATAAATTTATGAGTGAATAAAATATTTTATTATAAACAAATTATGAATGAATTTAGCTGATAATTAGAATGAAAATTTGATATTATTTTGGTGGATCAAAAGAATATTATTTAATCCAACCGTACAAGAGGATTAATAATTCTTAATTATACTATATTTTATTTTATTATAATAATATAGAGTTAATATAGAGTAAATATAAGTAAGATAAAATAATATTATCCATCCAAAATAAATGTACCAGTATTGTACGAGGGTTGTATGAATTATTATATTCCTTTAGTTATGATTATTATCTTTAATAATTTCCAATATAAGATTAATTTGAATAGGTTTGAAGGACGAACGAAGAAGCAAGGTATAATACTTCGAGATTGGGCTCCTCAATTAGAAATATTGGGACATCCGTCGACGGGTGGATTCATGAGTCATTGCGGCTGGAATTCGAGCATAGAGAGCATAAGCATGGGGGTGCCAATTGCGGCATGGCCAATGCACTCGGACCAACCAAGAAATGCGGTGTTGTTGACGAAGCTGTTGAGAGTTGGGCTTGAGGTTCGAGATTGGGAAAGTCGGGACGAGATTGTGAGGTCGAATGTTGTGGAGAATGTTGTAATGAAATTGATGGCTTGGGAAGAAGGAAATGAGATTAGAAAAAGGGCTCGGGAATTGGGGATTAGGGTGAGAGAATCGGCCATTGTAGGAGGAACTAGCCGCACCAAAATGGAAGCATTTATTGCTCATATTACCCGATGAGATGAGATAAAATATTCACTTTGGCAGTGCCAATAATGTTGGGGACTTCCGTATGTTACAAAAATAATTAATGACGCATATTCCTAAAAATTGAAGCTTTTAGGTGAAACAGTCATTCCGATTATCTAGCAAATAATAATCAATAACCTGAGTGATTGAAAAGAAAAAAAAAATTGATTCACAATAAACCATGTAGGGTTCATGAATCAAAAACACAAAATTGAAAGAACAAATATGAATTTGATAGAATGAAATCTATGTACCTGAAAATAAAAAATTATAAAAAATTGGATAAATCGAATAGCATACACCTGTATTTTCATAAATTTGCATAAACTCTCCTATGTTAGATTAACCCCCAAAAAGCTCCGTATTATAAATTAACAGAGTTTAAAATAAAAATAAATTGAGAATGACTGTTTTACCCCTGGATAATATAGGGTTTTATTTTTACATTTTAATGGTCTTAACTCCGAAATTAAAATCTACCCCCGCACTCTCACTTGATCGATTAGGGCTTAGGAAGGATCGATTTTTTTCTTGAACGTTCGATTTATTCTCCATTCATCACGAAGGTAGCAATTTCGGAGCATTCTCGGAATCCTCCAGTGACGACATTCATTCTTGTTTGGCGACAAGTAATTCTTCGGCAGGTAAGAACAAATTCAGCTTCTTTTCGATGATTTCTTGTTCATCATGATTGAGGGTTCTCGTTTTCATTTCTATTTGGGAACTTGTACTAAATGATTTCAATATAACAACTTTTTAGTCACTGTATTGATATGGAGTATTGAAATTTTAATAATCCCTTGTCGCGACATGTTTTGTTTTTTGGGACCTATTAGTGTTTCTTGGGTTATGCATCTACAGTTTAAAATTAACATTTGTGTGGTTTAGTAGGCCATATGGGTTATGGTTGTTATGTGTTATTTTTTTTTCGGTGTTGCATTGAATGTTGTTGTCTTTATTCGTAGATGTAGTGTTTAGCTATTACCTTGATGATTTTTTTTGTTTTTAAAATGGTTGTGGGTCATGCAGGTATCAAATGACGGATTCTATGGATGTCGATTTATGGGTGGATGACTATTTAATTTGGTGTCCATTTGGTAAGTACATGGAAGGTATGAAGGTTAAGTTTGAAAATATTGATAAAGATACATTTGATTATTGGACATTAGTTGATATGCATGTTAAAACTGGTGGAGTGGGAAGTAATTTAGCATTTTATTCATCTCTGCCGGGTAAAACTTTTGAAAAGTAGCATGTTGTACATCAAATGTAGATATTCTTAACCTTTTGTGGGCATATAAGAATGAATTGGTGGTAAAAATTTTTGCAGAGGAGTTAAGGTTTATGAGTTTGGACAATGTTGGCAAGGAAATTAGTAAGTTCAATGAGGTTTTACTTCTCCCATCGAAAGACACAGAGGTTGTTGATGAGGGTAATGATGCATGAGGGGGTAATATAGAGAGAGATGAGATGCATCACTCTAATGAAGAGACACAATGACATCAGGTGGAAAATGACAAGGTCAGAGATGCTGTGTGGGAGAATTGGGAACGTGTAACAATATTGGATAACTATAGGGATAATAGAAAAGATGTCAATGACGAGATGGTTGAGGGAGTATTAGAGAGTGATGTCGTTCGTGGTGCTGAAGGGGTTATGGAGGGAGTTGAGGCTTGTGGAGTTGATGAACAAAGGGTTTATGATGATAATGCTTCACCAGAAAATGATATAGAAAATGATGGTGGTGTTGAGGGAGTGGCTTCTGTGTTGAGTAGTGGGGGTGCCTCTTATGTTGATACTGAAAAATCAAGTGCCGAATGGGGTGGTTTTGACTCGGATGATCCATCTTAGATGTACGATGGGTTTGATGGTCCATCGGATGATGATATTTTTATTGAAAGCCCGACAATGAGCGGGAGCAAATGAAAGAATTGTTGAAGGAGTTGTGATCATTAAGGAAGGAGAAACGAAAAAATAGACAGGACAATGTGAATAATGATAGAGTAGGAATAAAAGATAGGAATGTTGATTTGTACAGTGATGTGATTTAGAATAAGAGAATGATCTGGATGCATATTTGGTGTGTGATGAAGAAGCATAAGGGCCTTGTTATACCGAACGGTATGAAAACATGGATATAGGTACAAAAGATCTCGAGGTGGGCATTAAATTTTCAAATAGGGAGAAATTCAAGAAAGCTTTAAAGGAGTGGACTGATAGAAAAATGGTGGGACTTAAAGTATCCCGAGAAGGAAAAGTATGTTGTGGCAGCAACTTGCAAAAAAAGATGCGAATGGTTTATACGGGCTTTATCAATCATGCGATGGACCACATTTCAGATAAAAACACTTAAGAGCAAGGACACATGTGCACACATGACGACGAACTCACAAGCTAACTTTCATGAAGTATTTTAATATATTTTATAGTAATTATTTTTTAATCATGAATGCATATGATTTTGTTATAGTTCTAGCCTACTAGATATGCAGGGCTTCCATTCTTTGCTCCATAATGTCAATTTTATTTGAACTTTTTTTGTTTTTTTCGTAAGCCATCGAATCAGATCATAATCCCCAGATAGAGATATTTAACCAAATCATGCACCTGTTGTTTTGTTAATTTTGTTAATTTTTATTCCATCAGGTACCTGGGAAAAAAGATTAAGAATTATGTGAAAGACAATCCGGGAGTCTTTGGAGTCTTTGCGAAGGAAAATAAGAAGAGATGTTGAGGTTAATGTAAGCACACACAAGGTGTACCGAGCAAAACAACATGCTATAGAGCTGTTAAAAGGCGATATCAAATAGTAGTATAACAGGTTGTATGATTACTGTGTAAGAGTCTGCAAACACAATCCTGAAAGTTCGGTTATTTTGAAAGTTGATCAAGAACTAACTCTACCGGTGCTTCAAAGGATGTAAGTGTTTAAAACCACTATCGGATGGATTTCAGGAGAAATGTAGGCCAATTATTGGACTTGATGGTGTTTTTTTGAAGGGATTGCACAAGGGTCAGCTCCTGAAAGCGATCGAGATGGATGAGAATAACAATATTTACCCAATTGCTATGGCGCTTGTGGAGATCGAAAAATTTGATAGCTGGGATTGGTTCTTAAACTTGTTGTTTAGGGACATTAGAGATGCACAAGATGGCTGGTGGTCTTTCCTTTCCGATAAGAAAGGTTTTATTGACGTTGTTGCTAAGCATGCACCGAATGCCGAGCACCGGTTTTGTTTGCGTCATATGTAAAATAACTTTAAAACAAAGTTTTAGAGTTTGGAGTTGAAATAGTTGTTCTGGAAGGCTGCCTCAACCTACAACAAGAATGAACACAAGCATACAATGGAGAAAATCCTTAATTGTGATCCGAAGGTCAATGAATCAAAAAATGCCTTTGAGTGGTTGGCGGATATACCCAAGCATCAATGGGCTAGGTCCTACTTTCCTGCGAGGACTAAATGTGATGCATTTATTAATAACATCAGCGAGTCTTTTAACCATTATGTTATGCATGCTCAGGATTTTCCAATCATCGAGATGTTTGAATAGATAAGAAGAAAATGCATGACACAAATTCAGATTGAAAAGAAAAGAATTAGAAAGTTTGAAAGTCGTATCTGCTCAAATATTTTGAAGAAAATTGAGGCTCAGAGGAAAGAAAGCAGAAATATTTTCCCCAGTTGGGCAGAAGACGACAAGTTCGAAATAATACATTAGCAGGCTAATCATATAGTTAATTTGAATACCAGAAGCTGCACATGTGGGATTTTGCAGATGGTTGGATACCTTTGTTGTCATGCAATGCAGTTCTGGATATGGATAGGCAAGATCCGTTGGAGTTTTTAGATCGTACTTCAATAAGCAATTGTACAACAATCTATACAACCATATGGTCAGTCATGTACCAAGTATGCATGACTTTGAGAAGTCCCCATTTGGTATTTTTGATCCCTCCTGTTGTAAAAAAAAGAGCTAGAAGGCCCAAAAAAATATGTAGGCCTGATGCAAATGATACAAAAGATTCAAGTAAACAAAATCGCTTGTTTCCAGTAGAAACAAACTGTGTTTCCGCGAGCTCGCAGAAACAGAAACAACTTTTTTTTTTATTCTTTTATTTTAATCATTGCCTATTAAATTTGAACCAAAATGTATACAATGCATACATAATTTTGAACCAAAACATGTAGAATGCAATATAATTCATTTAAACAATATAAACACATAACATCACCACACATTTAAACAATATGGATACATAATTCAACAACATGAAAATTAATTAACCATAAACACAACACATATATGGATACATAATATAAATACATAACATATTGTCACCGAAGAGCGTCTACTTAGTCATAATTGCAACAACAATAACACAAAAATATAATATGAGCATCTACTTAGCCATTGCCATAATGGCAACAACAATAACACAAAGACACGTAATCCTATTGACAATTCTTTTTACACATCTGGTGTTCGATTCTATCGCTTTGCCAATTTTCTCTATTTCAAGTATCACCGTGGTATAGTGCATTTCATTGGCTTTGGAATCGGTTTTCAAAATTTCTTCATCTTCTTCATCAAAGGTACCAAACCTATATTTTGAGCAATTCTTTTCTTGTGCATTCAAAGGTTCTAACCAACAAAAAAAATCACATTGTCGATTTCTGCAATTACAAAACAACTTATCTTCGGTGTCTTCCGTAGGGCCAACAACTCCAATGGCAGCATATTTTCCATATTTACACATTGGATTTTTGTATCGCAAATCCAATAATTATGCTATCAAATTCTTCTTACTATTTGATGAAGCCGTCGATATTATCACCACCTATTCTTCACGAGCAAGGTCAATCGGTTCATTTAAAAAGAAAACAATTAACATTTACAAGAAACTCAACTAAATCAAGACATAAATATGTTGCACACGAAACTACACCAACAAACTACTGTTGTTGTATCAACTAATATTGTGAAAACAACAAATCAAAATTCCTACACTACAACACTAAACCAAACCAACAATTTC